AACCACAACAGTGGCACGTTAGGTTCTCACGTCCCCCAGACAAGAATATTTGCTACATGACCTTATGGAGTACTCTTGCAGTAAGTTAAAGCGACTTTAAGAAGGCTGCCCTTTCTCGTGCCACGCTCAGCTCCCCAGTCAGCCCCTTCTCTGTTTAACACTGGTGAAGAACAGGACAGGTTCAGTTGCCCTGAGTGCAGAACAAACCCTGCAAAACCAGCCCAGGACCGTCCTCCTGAGCAGCACGGCCAGCAGGCCCCTGAGGACACCTGCACAGGGGCCTTGCAGAGGGAGACAGCGCGAAGCGTAAAAACCATTCCTGAAGTGGCCGAAACAGCCCAGACTCCATCCAAGACACGAGTTTTGGGAACAAAGAGGCAGAATGCCAGTTGTGTTCCCACCAAAAGGCAAACTGTGCACACAGTCAGGGCTGATGAATGCGCCGGTGCTAATGTGAACGGCCACCCAGGAGCCATCAGGGAGGACGGAGGTGAGCATTAGCCTGCCCCCCAGCACCAGCCCAGCCCCACATTTGCCACCAAGCAGTCTGCTAGCTCAGGTCGGAGTGACAGACCACAGAGATCGTTGGTTTGGGCCCAAAGGAAATCACCAGTCTGAGCTGACAGTGTCATTGCTGGCAGCAGGGGAGGATGGATGGTTCCCTGCAGCCTGAGATGAAGGTATTCATCAGTAATAAATTTAAATATACAGGATCAGACAAGGTTTTCTGGGGTTCTGGCCATAAAAAGGACAAAATGGAAGACACAGAGGTAATTACTACTGCCGTATTCAAAGCTAAGTTTTAAGAAAATCATTTGTAGAACTGGGGACTGAGAATATCCTCTGACAAGCCATTACTGCTCTGGATGGTTGTCCACGACTTTAGTGCTGGCCACCAGCTAAAAATGCCTTTGTTTCCACACTATAATTAACAGCACAAAAAATTCACGGGAAGAAACCCTATTGATCTTCAACTACACTAAGTTGGTTGCTGAAGCCCAAAGGCTGGGATAACTTCTGACTCAAGCAAGCACACAAGGACCAGATTTGAAAGCCGAAAAAGGGAAAAAACTCCAACAGAGAATCGCTTGGGCAGGACACAATTCCCTTTGAGAAAGTACCCAGCACTGTGCTGAGCACAGCCAGCTCCAGAGGAGAGAGCTGAGGATGACAGGGGATCCATGCATCCATGGTATATACTGCTCGGAAATATATCCACCTCACCTGACAGCCTGGAGCCAACCTACAGCAGCAAGCTCTGATACATGCTCTGCTGTGCTGGGCACTGATCGCCTTAATCCACACCACCTTGCTTCCAGCTGCGCTTACCTGCACAAACACGGGGAACACCAGCACTTTGGGAGCCAGCGTCACATACGTGCCGTAGCTGGAGTGCGGGATGTGTGGCCTCACTATAGTACAGTTCTGGTAGTTCCCGTAGTTCTTCATCGTCTGCACAGTCTTCATCAGCCTGGATTTTCTCCCAGACCCCACGTGCGATTTCCCTTTACATGCATTTCCTGGACCAACGGAGGAAGCAGAAGGAAACACAGAATCAGAAGAGAGCTCCCGCAGAGCTGCTGCACGCTGCCAGCTCGGTTCCTGCTCTCGCAGGAGAAAAGCACGTAAAGCCTGAGGGGAATAGCTGGAGCCAAGAGCTGCCGGGACATTCGTCACTCTGCTATCAAAGTTTCCCAGGGATTCATGAAATAACAGCACTGACTTCATTTTTCCTAATGCAAAATGAGATGTCCCTTGACATTTCTGCCCAATCAAGAGCTACTCACTTGCTGGACCGAAGACTTAACAGGATCACAGCAGCAGCACAAACACATCTATGTACGTACAAATGAAAACCCAAGGAAGTCACAGCAAGCTCAGCTGCAGGCCAGCACATCTGCCTCTAGGTGTATGCTGCCTTCTGCACCATTTATGAACACTGTACTTTGGAGGAAGAGATGTGGTAACATGACACACACCACCCTATGCAGTATTGAAAGAACAAAGTGAGAAATATAGAACAACCCCAAACATGACTTTAAATGGTCATTCTTGAACCACGGGAGCACCAAGGGGGTTCCCACCATCGAGGAATACCTGCCTGTGCCACCGAACTACAACCCTTCCCTTTCCAAGGAGGAGAAAACCATCTGTGACTAACTCAGGGAGAGGAAAAAAAACAACACTGGAAATATAAACCTTGGGACATTTTTATCCACACAAGTCCTGCCTGCTCTGGATTCTGGGCAGGAGAGCTAGCAAAGTGCAGAAATTTCATACCATGGGGTGCTGGGTGGTGAGTTAATCACAGTGTTCAGAAGATACTAAAATTGGAGGTGTCAGAGAAAGGGACAGAAGTGACAAACCCATTCATGCACATGGGATCAAAACATGCCTTTCCAAATCACTCCCAGTGATGTGATGGTTACTCAGACATTGGGGTGTATTTATAAAGGATGACTTCATTTTGCATCAGGCTGACACAACATCATCCACTGTTTTGCAGCATTTCATTTCGGTGCTGGAAAAAGTCCGAGCAGCCTGACTGGTTTTTGACTCTGTCCCTCTTCATCGCAGAAAGCTGTTATCCTCATTCAAAGGAGGGATTACACAGAAGCTTTCCTTTGCAGCCTGCCACCTCAGTTGGTCGAGCAGAGCTGTGACTTTTCCCAACAAGCCAACAGCAGCTACTGCAGCCGCTCCACACCCGCCAGTCTGCATCGCTGGAGGCCAGGAGACATTAGGTGGTATGTCAAACCAGCCCCAGAATCTCTAATGTAATTGATAACCCTGTGATTAAGAGCAGTATTGATAATTATCAATAATTATCTTTGTTCCCTGCATGGGTGAGTTGTTCCTTCCCCTATTGCCAGGCAATTGCTGCTATGTAGGATTTATAAAGCCCTTTCCTCCCAGCCCAGAGGAACGCCTTTGTATCCATCCAGCAAGCTCCCACCAGCGTTTTGTCTCACGGGACATGGGGTGCTCTGAGGATGCTTTGCCTGGATAGAAACTACGATTTTCTCAGCACCAGCGCAATGAGGTGAGAGCATCACAGGGTGCTGGGAGCCGGTGCCTGTACGCACAACTGGCTGCGAGAAACTAGATGGTCTGGGGGGTGATCTGCTGGAGGCAGCAGTGCCAAGGACGGCTCTAGGCGTCCTCCTCCCCAGATCCACCACATGGAGCCAAGATGAGACCAACACACAGGACCAGAACCAGAAAGGAGCCGCCAAGGTGCTGCCCTCTGGGCTGCTCTGCTCTCAGGTGGGCTCGGAGAGCACGGCTGCTGAGCAGGGAGCAGCTGTGAAATGTTTGCCATTAATGACATTAATCCATTAGGCCCAAGGGCCTCAGCATTCTCTGGTGACCCCAGCACACGGTTTTGGCCATCCCTGATGTCCTCAGGCCCACAGTGCACATACACAACTCCACTCACAGGAGCAGCAGGACCTATCACGGCGGGGAGAGAAGGCAGGATAGGTCAGAGTTCTCCAAGAGCCCTTAACCCCAGACCATGTCCTGCTGGGCACCAGCAACCTGCGCTCTGACCTAAAACTCGCAGGCCACAACTCCAACAGGAGCTGAATGTCTCTCTAACCGAAAATTCATGCCTTCTTCAAAAAAAGGAAAAAAATCAAAGTATCTCCTTCCTCCCTCCCTCCTGAAGCTGATGAACCAAGCCAGCTTGGATTGTAACACATCCAGGTGAGAAGCTGGAGCATTACCCCGTTCTCCCCCACAGCAATGTCTCAGGAACATGTATGAGCGAACCCTCCTGCAGCTCCCTGCTAGAGGGGTGTCCCAGCAGAGACCTCGCAGCATCCCTCCCTCCAGCCTCCCAGCCCCAGGAGTTTCTGCTCCCACCGCAGCAGCTTTCTGCACAGTGGCTTCGGCCTTTGCACTGGAACGGATACCCACAACCTTCCCAAGCAGAAATGAGCCAAAACACTTCTGAACATGGCTCAGAGCAGATAAGGCCTCGTCCAAAGCAAACAGACGTACCTACCCAACATTACATATTCCATTAAGCATTAGGAAATAGCGCATTTACTTTCAGATAAACGCCAGCAGAGCCAGACCATGCTCTGTTGGCAATCCAGACCTGCTGTTTACTGCTTGCTTTAACAGCCTGCCTCTGCAGGGGGGTGGCCCTCATGACCTAAAAGGTTGTTTCCATCTCTAAGTGCAATAATCCTGACATTTTCTCTTTTCCCTTTTTCATGGTTGCACTGCCAGATAAAAATCAAAGCACAAGACACAGGACAGATACAACCTGTCTGGGCTGTTCAGGATCTGCTTTTCCTCTTATCCTTAAATCACCTCATTTTATCAGAGGAACTTATCACCTGCACAAGTCCTGTTTTCTGCACGCTGGCACAGAAATGCATCCAGCTTGCCTGAAGCAGCAGCTCCTGTCCCTGTGTGACTGCTGGCCAGCTCCGCGCCACCACGCTTAATCACTGTGCAGCTTAACTAATGCATTCTTCCCTCTGAAGACTTAACATTAAATAACTGAGACTGAAAAGAACCACTAAAATTTGCTACAGGAAGAAGCCCGAGTCTTTCAAATTTCACCCTGCTGTGAAGCTAGACCACAAGTCCCCATGGTCTGGCTCATCCTTTCACAGGATCTGCAAACAGCAGGAAAGAGTTGCAATTATCCACGGTACAAAACATCCCCTGCAGTTGAGCTGCAGAAAATTCTTCTGGCTGCAGAGCTCCAGGGCTGGGAGCATCCAAGACACAGGGACCTCAGACCCACGCTGCTCCCTCCTGCTCCCAGCATCCCCACCATGGCTTTGCCAGCCCCACACTTTGCCTCCTATGGACGCTGCCCCACCTTTACCGGCAGAACAGAACTCCCTAGCTGCGCCCGCACCAGGGAGGGACTGCGGAGTTAAAGACACTCCTGCAAGATCATGCCTAAGGAGGTCAGTTCTGTTGTGGACATGCAGCTCCTCCTAAGAGCATCCTAACAGACCAGGGTGCAAGCGTGACCACCCAAAGCTCCCAAATCAATGAGCGGGCAATGGGTGGCTCTGCAGGGACCTGCAGTCGTGCAGTCCCCAGCCCTGCCACACACCTCATTCCACTCTTCCTGCAAACCCAGCCACAGCTGGTCCTCCAGGCAGACCCCAGCATACCTGTTGCAGAAAATGAGTTTATGCTTCAAAGGGGTTTTGAGGAGAGCTGGTCCAGAGACTGCCAGAGACCTTGTAGCAGCCCTGGAAATAAGTATCGCCCAAATCTGGCACATCGATCTGCACTACGCTATGTACAAACTCAAGTCACGGCCATCCTCGCTTCCTTAGTACAAAAATTAACCTCAAAGCAGGGGCCACAGCATTAGCACTCCCCTAGCATGCCATCATGTGTGACAAGGGACACGTGTCACCGTCAGGTCCACGGACACATCTGGGGAACTGCCACAACACCACTTAGCACTTCCACACTTCACGCTTTCATCGTGCCCCTGATGGAAAGTCCCTGTCACCAGGCTCCCTTCAGCCGCTTCCGAGCTCCCGCAGAGACCTTCTCACCACGAGGCTCGCCCAGTGATACTAGGAGCTGTGTTCTCCTCTGGGCTTGGGGGTAGCGTCTGGCTTTTATGTTTGACGCAGAGAGTAGGAAGATTATACTGCCCAAAAGCCCCAGGCTTCTGCCACTGTCCTCAAAACTGCGAGGGACTCCATCGCAGCATTGCAGGGCTACAGGCAAGGATTCGATAGTGCTGACAGGGCCATGCCTAGCTCTGCTAGGTGCTCTGAGCAGCACATCAGCAACTTACCCACAGTAGTGTTGTTCTCTTGATACACAGGCCTCAGCAGCTGTAAGACATAACCCAAAGGACACAGTCACCTTAAGTAGGTTTGAGGTAAACTTTACAACAACCGACCACAAATTTTAGCACGCCAAACCCAGCAAAGCCAAAGCAGAGAGGTGAAAATCATTTTGGCCCTACTGCCACAGAAGATGAGAGCAATGACTTGCAAACACTTCCCATATCCTTACCCCTTGAATGAGCCCTGAGAGGAGGCAGCAGGGCATTCACCCCAGCCCTACAGTCCTAGTGGTAAACGTTTTGCGAAATTAGTGAGAGCTCCAGCAAGGGACACAAGTCTGACTTGTAAAAATGTCACGTGCTCTAGCAAAGATTTAGAGATGGTGCTCAGTGAGGCTGAACCACAGGCCAAGAGAGGATCCAGCCAGCACAGCCAACAGCCACATGCAGTACCTTGAGCATGGGGCTGGGAAGCAGCCCTACCTGGCTCCCCGGGTTCAAAGGCGCTAAGATGATGTAGTTCTGGTCTGCAGCGGAGGGGACCCGGGACAGGGGTGGCATGGTGTTCTGGCTCCGCTTGCCAATCTCCGTGTACCTCTCCCAGCCGTTCAGCACCAGCCCATCGCTCCCATCATACAGTATGTGGCAGCTCCGGCGCTGCTCAGGCCGTGGAGGCATGGTGCTGTTCTTTTCCCGCTTGTTGGGTGGCGACTGGAGGTCGTAGGCAGACTTGCAGGATGATCTGCGGATCATGCCTTCATGTCCGGACTTGACCTGTGGAACGAGCCTCCAGACCAGTAGTATGATCTCAGTGGGACAGTTCCTGAAAGAGATGGCATGGGGCAAGTCAGAGCTGGAGCAGGAGGGAGTCAGGCACCCCATATCATTCGGACAGCCATGAGCCCTGCAGTCCTTCCTCCCTCTAATGCCTCCACCCCTGCCCTGCCCTCCCCAGCCCCTGCATCCTTTCTCCTTCCACCCTAGAGAGTCCTTTCCCAGTCTCCTGCATCCCTCAAAGCCTTCCCCTTCCTGTAGCCACTCAAAGCTCCTGCTCCCCTGCCCTGGGCTCCCTCAAACTATCGCTCCCAGAGCCCTGCACTGATGTTTTGGATGGACACTCACCGGATTTCATGTGCCAGCTCCACACATTTCCAGTGCTCCACGGGCTGCTCGTTCAGCTGCAGCACCGTGTCCAGCTGCTGCAGACCAGCCTTTTCTGCTGGGCCACCTATGGGGAGAAGGGACAAATGCCAGTCACCTGCTGGACAGAGAGCTGAGAGTATGAGGGGGAGGAGAAGCCCTGGGGCTAGTGGACACGCAAACAGCACAGCTTCACAGCTTGCACCACTCACTCCTCCAAACCCAATCTGTTTCCCCTAACATCCACACCCGAAAATGAAGCGGGGCTAGCTGAGCCCGGCGCTTCACCTTCCAACATGCACACACAAAGTCAGCAATGCTCTCTCAGAGCTATTGCACGAACTTCTCCTGCTTCCTGGTTTGCAGTGGGGTGCACCAGGGTACAACAGAGACACCAAATCCACCCCGCAGGTCCACACCAAGACGATCCTGGCAACCGAGGGCTCCCGTGATCCTCCTCCCCTCTGTGCCTGACACCCACTCCATATGCCTTCCATAGGTCTCCCAACCAGCTGGACAGCTCTCAGGCTGGAGAGGGAAGAGAACAAAATCTCTGCAATTTACTGCTCACACTGCCAAAACAGGGACACAGCACTAACTCAGTGGCCTCTGACCTCATCAGAGGCAACACAGAATTCCTTAAGTGAAGTTTCTTGGATGTAGCCAGAGCCCTGCAAGGCATGGGAGCTTCTGAATCACAACATGCTCTGGGAAGCAAAAAAGAGGCAGAGTCATTCGTTCAAATCAAGAGAGATAAAAATGATCCAATCTCTTACCTGAGTCCACTGCCTGCACACGGACTGGGGAGTCGCAGCAGATCGTGAAGCCAAATCCATCACTTCCTCGAGGGATCGTAATCTGAAGAGACACACCGGAGTCACCCTGTTAAGTGGGAAAGCAGCCACTGCTTGTGATCAGCAAGCATCCCCCCGTTCACCCACACAGTGCCCCACAGCCTTCAGAAATGCACACACAGCATTTCTAGAAGTGGTTGCAGGGCCCAAAGGAACCGTCACGGTGAACACTGTCACCCTGTGAAGACCAGGGACAATGGGTCTCTCCCCTGCTGCAGCCAAAGCGGGGGTGGAAAGGGTGCTAAAAAGCAATGCAAAATCGAGCTGAGAATCAACAGAGAGGAATGCCACAAAACGAGTGTTAATTGAGCATACACAAGCCTCCACTCACAACTCTTCAAGCATACGGAAAGGTCTGATAAGTCATTAGAAAGGAAAACCCGGCAGTCTGGCTCTGACGCTGATTTCTGACATGGCTCCTCTAAGCAAGTTACTGGAACATTTCGTTTCCAGTTGGGTAATACAGGAATAGCAGCACTTCTCTGCTCCAGAGGAAGCTGCGAGGATCAGCACGCTCCTGTCTGCAAGGCATCTGTGCTGGAGCGGGCTCTGTGTGCATCACCCCATTAGCTGGGGTGAGTATGTTTTCTCTCACTGAGTTTGGAGAGGATGGATGCTGTGTTGATTTAGGCTCATTTCTCCTCCTAATTCAAGAAGCATTGAGCTTATTAATAAAAGTATATTTATTTTTCTGATGTTGGCTTCCAGCTGCAGCTCAGCATGACAATTCCTGTAAATACCTGATTATCCCCCAAGATATTTGTCAAGATCTTTGTTTTACTGACAGAGAAAAGAAAAGAAAAAATCCAACATCTGACCTGTATTATTTTGAGAACAAACAGTCAGAGAGAAGACAAGAAAGTCGGCAGAAGCTGCCAAAGATGTGAACTCATTCCTCGCTCCTTTACCACGGGAGGGCAAACACAGTGAGCTTTCATTTCTCTGCACCTCGTCCCTGCTTGATTGCTCAGCATAAACTCAGGCTTCAAAAGAGAAACTGTCTTTCCCTGGCAGGATCAAAAAGTAGGTCTAGTCCCACCACGCTAAGTATTTTTCTCTCTAGAGTTTGTTGGATCCTCAAACAGGGAGGAGGCTGCTTGTGGCTCTGCACCTTCAGACCAACCTCACATTTCAAATACAAAGCACAGGGGATCCAAGTCCTGCAGAAGTCCACCGCCAGCGCTTCAGGAGCCAGCCCAGCACCTCTCCCACCACGGAGACTCCACAGCCGCTTCCCAGCGCAAAGCTTCCCCTGCACTGAGAGGCCTCTGAGTGCTTCTCCCTGAGCTGGCTGGCTCTCGTCCATCCCCAATGGCGACACCTTCCCTGTGCCACCAAACAGCAGCTTCTCACCGCTGGTTGTTCACTTTCCTCAGCTCCCACCACTATGGCCATTACAGGGAGTTGAACGTCCGTTCTTGCCGCTGTGCACAGAACTAAGAAATATGAGCACCTCACATAGGCTGGAAGGTGGGTGGCAAGACAGTGAGAGACCCCAGCACCGTTGAGGCTCACTGTACCCATAACTTTGTCAAAAAGTGTAGAAGAATCGTCAAATAGAGAACTGAGGAAGTCTAGGACACAAATCACAGT